GTACTGTGCAGCTTGGTGACGAGTTAACACTGTATTGCCTACCGGAAAGTTACTATGAGGGTAGATCTTAAATGTTCTCATCACAAGGAAAATACAGTTTGTAACCACGTGGGGTGATGAATGTTACCTGAGCTTACTGTGGTGATCATTTTGCAACATCTGTATGTGTTGGGTCACTGTGTTATACCCCTTAAACTTATACAATGTTATATTTCACGTATATCTCAATAAAGCTGGAAACAAAAGTAACCTTGTTCTATGTGTGTTTCTGTTTAAATACATCTTATTTACTATTCATTGTAGATTCCTTAACAACAGCACTAACTCAGGCCTGAACAAGCCCATCCAACACTCATAGTTTCTCTGTGAGGCACATCTCTGCTTTCTTGCGCTTAGGGACACGAGATAGCACTTTAGCACTCTGCCTGAAGGCCATTTGAAATAGCAAAGTCATCAACAAAAAGCACAAAAATGCAAAAAAAGTAGCATCAAATACATCATGAAAAGCACACTTGGCTACAGTAGAGAGCATCTCCTCGTTCAAGTTCAGCTGGGAACATGCGTGTTGCGTGACTCAATGTTTCAGCCACTCTGTGCATGTCCACAGTGACTGTGAAAGCCAGGGATAGGGGTTAGTCCAGGATGTGACTGCAGGCAGGGTCAAAATCCTGGAGAGATGAGGGGACACAAAGGGGACTGTATGAGAATTTAAAGGAAAAAGGCCTGCCTGGGGTCATATGATTGGATTCATGGCTTAGGTAGGCACTTACTCTCTGGAGGATTGGCTACCCTCCAGGGATGTGAGGAACGAGATGTGGAGTTCGCCCAAGGTCTTCGAGACTGGGCTGAGCTCCAAGGACTAGTCCTAATCAGTGCCACGGGCTGGCCCCGGCTCCTGGCCAGATCCGGGGCTGGTCCCGTGTATTGCTTACGCATACACCATTTGGCTCTAAGCTGCCTTTGTTAGAAAACCCTTCAGAAGCCCCAGGAGGCAGGGATGAGCAGCAGCTCTTCCTCAACAGATTCCGCTGTCATTACTCTGAGAAATGCCCGTGATGCTCAGACTCCGGCGCTGAACTGCCCGTGATGCTCCGATTCCGGTGCTGAACTGCCCGTGATGCTCTGATTCTGATGCTGAATTGGATAAAGGGGCCCTGGTGGTATGATGTAACTATTTTTCTATTTCCCTTGCTACTATTTACTTTCTGTTTCTCTTAGCTCTTTCCCTGTTAACAATAAACCTCTTATCTACCCAAGCAGCTTGTGGTGGTGTGTCTTGCGTATCGAACCCCAAAATAGAACTCAGTCTGTGCACAGCTATCGATATAGATTAATTATCGATACAGGGACAGAAGGGATGTGTCCAGAAGATGAGGTCTTCTGGGAAGAAGGGGCGGGAGGGCTGAGTGCCTGTCCTCCCCACTGAGGTGTGCTCGCAGTGGCAAGCCCTTTCTCTCTAACACACCATGTGTTCCCCTCACTCTCTGAGCAGAGCTGGGTGACAGGGATGGCTCAGACACATTGGGCTGAAGTATGCATTCCACAGATAAACCATGAATGAGGCTCTGACCAGGGTCAGTTCATGGGAGGTGGGACAAAAAGGTGGCGTTAGAGCATGTGGGTCCCCATGTGCCACCATGGACATTTAGGGTCACAGTGCAGAATGCACTGAGGCTACACCCCTTCTGTACTTCCCTGAGCCCTCCTGCCCACCACCCTCTCTCTCTCTCCCTCTGACACGCGCACACACACGCACACGCGCGCGCGCGCGCGCACACACACACACACACACACACACAGCACCTGGCCAGTCTAGAGGGGCTTCCCTCACCCTCATTTCAGAGTCCAGTCAGTCCCCATCTACCTTTCCTCCCATTTGCTCCTGGAGGATGTTTCTGGGACTCCAAACCTGGCCTCTTTCCCACCCGTTTGCTGCCACAGTTCTTTAAATTGCTGCTTATAGGAATTGTCAGCAGATCAAAGGTGTGAGTGACCTCATGAGACTCAATGGAAGGGAAATTACAGGCAGGGTTTTCTGGAACCCACAGAGGGACTCTGGAATGGTGGGGAGGGGGTCTGGAGAGAGCGTCAGGGAGTCAGAGGGACACTCCCCACTGGCTGGGCCCCAAGGCACACAGCACACCAGGGGCCACAGCTCATTACTAGGCCAGCACGAAACACACTGAGAATACGAGGGGAGAAAGCGTGGTTCAGGGCTTTCTAGCCAGCAAAACCGACAATCTGTTTTCAACCTCGATGAACTCAGGGAATTTTGTTCCCATGAGCTGTTCCTGAGGAGGCGACCAGAGAAAAAGCTACAGACAATGAGATCAATGACAGACGCTTTGTGGTCAGGACGGGTGTGCATAATTAAACAAACATATGTAGAATGAGAATCGAGTGTCAGAGAGGAGCTAATGTAATATGTAATGACTATGTGCTCAGACAACATAGATACAGCACAACCACATAAAATGTAAAAGGAATGCAAAAATGAATTCTGAATGCTCTCAGTAATTACATTGTGGGTGATGGCTGGAGTGTTGTTGTTCTGAGATAGTTGTGTGTGTGACATGGGATAAAATAAGTGAGTAACTGAGATTTCTAAATTCTAAAAATTTCTAACAATTTTATTTCCTCCTGTGTCTCAGGATTCTTGGTGTGGATGATGAAATATGAAAACAGAATGGGACCTTATTTGTAAATAGGATCTTTGCAGGTGCAATTAAGGTAAGGATTGAGGTGAGACCATCCTGGATTAGAGTGGGTCCTGGATTGGGGAGTGAGACAAAAAAGAACCCACAGAGACACAGGGAGGAGGCCACGTGAAGACAGGGCAGAGATTGGAGTGGTGAGGCCACAAGCCAGGGAACACATGGAGCCCCCAAATGCTCAAGAGATGCGGAGGGTCCTCCCTTAGAGTCCTCAGAGGGAGCTCAGCCCTGCCCACACCTTGCTTTCAACTTCTGGCCTCCAGGACTGTAGGAGGGTAACTTTCATTGTTTCAAGCTACCTCATTTGTGGTCATTTGTTACAGCAGCCCCAGAAACTCATACAACAAACATCACTATGGCTGGACCGCAGACATTGCTGTCCTGAGCTCATCACAGGGTGACCTGTCCTCAAAACCATGGTCCCTGCTCCTTCCTCAGTGTCCCTTTCCCCCCTGCACCTCAAAACCCTGTTCTCCTCCCTGGGGGCGGGGAGGGAGAGAGAGAGAGAGCTAGAGAGAGAGAGAGAGAGAGAGAGAGAGAAAGAGAGAATAGATAATAGGTGATAGATCGATCAATCATTAGATAGATAGATAGATAGATAGATAGACAGATATAGATAGATGATAGATAGATGATAGAGTAGGAAGATGACAGAGAGATGATAGACAATACAATTTTACTGCCCATAAAACTGTACTTTTTCTATCACAGTTACATAAAACAGCAAACAGTGCTTTATGCAGACAGAGTAGCAGCTGTGTGTAATGTGTTGGGACTTCACTCGGTTCCACGTTGCTAGCGCCATTCCACACTCCTTTGTGACACTGTGGCTCATTCGTTGCAACTGCTGTTGGAAATAGAATGCTTGGCTTGAGCGGAGGGCTCTCTGAGCAAACTCAGGGAACTTGAAGGCATGGTAACCATGGTGACTCCTGCAGGGAGCACTGGGGACATTCCCCAAGAACGACTCATTTTGATTAGCTAATCTTAAGTCGGTGTCCCAGCTGCGTCCCCTCACATAAACCAGCTCTTTCCTTCAAGGCTCCCCTGGGTCATGACCCCAAACCGGGTTGTCTCAGGAAGGTGAACGCTTGTCTTTCTGTCCATCTTGGAGTCTGTTCGTCTCATTGTCAGGCTGGGACAAACATGTTCCTCAGTCCCCCCCACCCCCATTAGGGGACAAGGGCCCAGTGCTCAGGATGGATGGAGCAGGGTCCCCGGATTTCTCTTCAGAACTGGCGATTTGGGGAGGAGGGCAGCTGGAGAGAATGGGGTTGATAGGAAGTGCTGACCTTGGGGGCACCAGCGGGCCACCCGGCCTCTCCCCAGGCACCCGCCCTCCCTGTTTAGTCAGCCTCGTTTTTTTGTGAGGCCCCCTTCTCACCAACTCATTCATGACTTGTGCTGAGGGGAAAAGCCACAGGAAATCACAGGAACTTGGGCACAGGGTGGGGGTAGAGGGCGGGAGTCTTGGCTTTAGCTTGGGGACTCTGAAACTTCAGCCAGGAGAGCCACTGGCCACGACCACAGGCAGGTGTCATATCACCTCCTCCTGGTGCCAGTGGCCCTGTTCTCCATCCCTGTCCTCCATCTCCTCATCCTCCAGGGTGTCCTGTGGGTGCCTCACCCTGCACAGGAGGGGTTCTTGGAAAGAATGGGGGAGGGGTCAGGTACAAGCCCCAAGGAGGGATCTGAGGGAGATGTTCATTCTCCCACACGCTCACACGCCTCATTCCTCACCCACCCTGCCTGGCTAGCATCCTGCCAGGCTGGGACAGAAGGGGCCAGAGGTTCTAGGCTCTGCCCCTTTTCCACGTGCCAGAATCAAAACAGCATGGCAGGGATCCTGTGACAAAGTGCCCGCTAGGATCCTGCCAGGTATCAGGTCATAAACATGCAGACACGCGTGGAAATGCATTCTATGATCACGGTGGCACTTTAAGTCAATGGGGGAAAGGCTGATATAATAAATGGCAGAGAAAAATTAGCCATCTGTTTGGAAGACGTCCCTGCCTCCTACCACAGCATGATCTCCAGGTGGATTGGCTGAGTGGAGTCACCAAGTTCATAACAATATTAGAAGAAAATGCAGAGACTACTTTCATAAGGGCAGAGGGGGGCTCTCCTAAGATCGGAAGCCCAGAAACCATAAAAGAACAATGAGGTTCACCCACGGAACTTGAGAACACGCGTGTATGTACAATGAAGACACCAAAACAGACCCAAGGAAATATTTGCAAAGACATACACCATAGGAAAGACTGTGTCCCCAATACACAAAACGCTCTACAAATCAGGAACACAAACACCACAGTGGAAGGGAAGGCTGAGGGTGTGATCAGTCACAGGAGAAACGCAATGGCTGACAGTCCTAACAGGTTCAGCCTCTCTGATAACAATTTCAATCCCATCAGGTTCTAGTTTTTGTCTACCAGACTGACAAACATTCCTAGAGCTGGATAATGTCCACCGCGAGTGAGAGAGGGGGAGCAATGGAAAAGACCAGAGCATGACCCGTCTGTAAGTGTCTGTTTTGGTTTTAGGCAGATATCCTTCGTGGTTCAGCTGTCCACTTCTCAAAACTGATCGGCAGGAATAATCACACGAGTCCCTAAGGATGTGAGGATGAGGACGGTCACGTCACTGTTTCTAAGAGCAGACCCCTGTGCCCACAGGTGAGGGTGGTTAAAGAAATCTCAGTTCGTTCGTTCAGGGGAATACTCAGCAGACACTGAAAATAAAAGGTCGGTCTAGTCGTGCTGACCTGGAAAGATGTCCTTGGAGAACTGTTCAGAGAAAGAATCACGTGGCATGCTGGTGTGTCGGCACGTCCGAGTGCCCACCGGACCGAGCACTTGACCCAGACTGTGGAGGGTAACCCTCTAGCACCTCATCAGGGTGGGGGACTACACCGAAACGCTCAGAGGTGGGGTCACAGACTCAGGCCCAGCAGCTGGGAAGCAGGCACTGAGATGTCACGGCCAAGCTGTCTGTGCCACGCTGCCCTGCCCGGGAGACCCCGTTCACTTCCAATCGTGAATCATTCTTAAAAGAGCTGGGAGAATTCTCCTCCGTTTCTGCCTTAAATGCGTCCCTCAAATAATAAATTCAGTACACAAAGACTTGCCATCTCAGGGGATGGCAAGTCCTCGCCCTCCATAACCTCCAGGCCTCAATGCTCCCCACTGCTCTCCAGCTTCCGGTCTCCGCGAACCCTCAACTTTCTCGTCACACGAAGCGAACTGCTGTTTTCCAGGTCACCCGCCAGCAGCACCCAGTCCCTACACTCCCCCAAAGCACCAGACACAAGCGTGGGTAGCACACTTTACTGAGGTTTGGGTGGGGGCAGGATGGGGTACATCGCAGAGCATCAGAGCAAACTTAAAACAGAGCAGAGACGACCCTCGGACATGTCCCTCGGCTATTTCCACCAGCAGGAAGTTGACAGCAGTCTCCAGTGACCCAACTGTCCTCTCTGGTTCACTCACCCTGGACCCCAGATACCTCTCCATGGCTCATCAGATGAGCCTGGAATGGAGGTCAAGGCCAGCTCTTAGTGGAGCCATTGTACTTTCCAAGGAGCCCAGGACCAAGGGGTGACCATGGCCTGGGTCGGCCACACAGGGACGAGGAAGAACTAGCCAAAGACCTGACCCCAGAGGAAGCCTGGCTTGGCTGCCGAGTATCATGTGGTGAGTCGCATGTCCAGTGGGTGCAGGAGGCTGGGCTGGACTTGGGGGCAAGGATGAGACCACAGACCCATGGCTAGAGCAGGAAAGGCCAGGAGAAGCAGCACCCTAAGACCTGCCTCCTCCCACCCGAAGGCCCCGCGGGGTCCCTCTGAGCCATCCCACACAGGGGTGGACTTCCTCAGCCCTACGCGGGGGCTGGCCCTCAGGATTCTGTCCAAGGTGCTGCTCAACCCAGGGTGAGGGCCAGAAGCGTCTGGTTAAGAGGCAGAATCCGAGCATGTGAGGGCTTCAGGGGAGCCCAATGCAGCCCCAGCTGCTCTCAGGGGAGCTGCCCTCGGGTCTGATCATCCATGGGGCCCAGACAGAGCGAGGGAGAGCAGGGACAGGAGTCACATACACAAGGACATGTGTGTCTGTGTGTCACTGTGTGTGAGACGTGGGCGTATGTGGGTGTGTCTACGCTGAGGCACGCCAATCCACGTGCTGGTGGGGTGTACATGGTGTAATGTGCACGCGTGTGCACACCTGTGGGAGTGAGCGTGTGGAAATGTGAGCGTGGGTGTGGATGCAAGTGTCCCACTTGCAGGCCGCAGGGGACACCACTGAATTTGTGTGTGCCAGAGCAACACTGTGTGCATCTGGTGTTCGCAGTGCATGCATGGTTGTAAGGGCTCCCCCTGACCCCAGGCCCACACTGTGACCTGGTTCACCTCAACTCTAACCCTCCCCCATCCCATCGCTCCCAAACCTCACGGGGGCCCAAGGTCCCCCAGGCAGCCCAGCACCCACAGCCCCCACAGGCCCAGTGCCTGCCTGCCCCATGCTCTTTCTCAGAGCCTCATTCCCTGCTTTCTGCCAGGAAGCCCCTGCCTCCCACACCCAGGTTCAGACCCAGGTCTCCGGACACAGAAGTGACTTTATTTCTCTGTAGGTGATGCCCTCACAGCTAGGCTGTTGGGCTGGGCCTGGCTCAGCCTGGCTTCCCTCAGAGACCTGGGGGTCCCAGCCCCCCTGCCCTCACTCCCGGGCCTCCTGCCCACCCGACACCTAGTGTCCTGGAGATGATCTGCGGGCTAGGACTTGGAGTTGGTGGAGAGACAGGGAAGGGTGAGGGCCACCAATGGTGGAGCCAGGCCAAGGCTGCACCCGGCCCCAGCCGGGCCAGGCTGAGGAGGGGCCAGCCACAGGCTCCAGGGGACAAGCTCAGAAGCCCTGCGGGAGGGAAGGGGATTCAGGGCCCAGCCCGGAGGAGGGTGGGCCCCAGGCTGAGCAGGAGCCCTCCGGCCAGGGCCCAGGGGCTGCCCCTGGTCTCAGACACCCCATTGCACAAATCCTTCTCGCAGCAGTCCACGTCTACTTTTAAGATCCCAGAGTTAATGAAGCCCATCAGATAATCTGAGAAAAAGTGCCGCTTAACGAATTCGCAGGACGAGGCACACATCCTGTTTACGGAATGGTCCTTCCTACCTGGGGAAGAGGAGGGGGGAGCCTGGGATTGGAGCCCCACCTGGGCCCTCTCTGCCTCGTGCCCAAGACCCAGCCCAGGACCCAGCTTGGGACCGCAGAACAGCAAAGCTGAGGCTCTCTCACCCATGCTACCCCAACATGGAAAGGACCATAGAGGGGCCAGGGCAAGACAGGCACCTGCTTGCTGTCACACCGTGGGTCTGAGGGGTCAGAGGACCCCCAAACTCTCCCCCACCCCCCACCCAGCCCAGGGCCAGGTCCTGACTTACTGCTGCTGGGATCCGTGATCCGGACGCTGGCACACACCGTGTCCGATGGCTGGCACTGCTTCGGGGTGCAATGGCTGGAGTTGGTGGTCAGGGTGCAGTCCTGGCACCACAGGCCATGAGCTGGTTGAGGCCCGAGGAGGAGGATGACCAGCGGAACTGAGGGCCAGGCCAGCCAGCCCCACATCCTCCCCACCTGCCTGCTGCAGGCGCTCCTAGGACAGCCATGTGGCTGTGGGAGGGTGGGCACCCCCTGGCCAGCAGTGACCAAGCCAGACTAGCACCTGGAGGACAGGCCCTGGGAGAACCTGTGTCCCTTTCCAGTGGTCTGCAGGGCGGGTTCCACCACTGGGACTCTGGAAATCCCCATGCCCCCTCCCTGACCGCACGTGCACACACACACAGCCACAAGTACCTCACACCTGTGGTGCCCTCCTGCACACCCCGATCCCCTCACACACACACACTCTCCCCATCCCAGAGTCCAGGTGGTTCTAAGCTTCGAACGACCAAACAGGACTTGATGGGCGGCCAGGTGGGGCTCTGACAGTGATGGAGCACAGAACCCCAGCACTGAGTGAGGGACAAGCATGCAGGACCGACCCCCGGTGCAAGGACCAGGAGGAAAAGTGCTCAGGGGCCCGGAGTGACCTGCGTGGCTGGAGCTGGAGCCGAGCGAGGGAGGGAGGGAGGCACGAGCAAGGGCCTGGCTGGAGTCGCCGGGGCTGGGGAGGGGGTGTGAGTTTCACGGGCACCGTCGGAGGATGCCGGCCCCACAGCCCGGCCCTCCAGGCGACTTGGCCCACCCTGGGGCGGGCTGCCCCCCGACTCACCGGGAGCAGAGCACAGCAGAGCGGCCAGCAACACCAGGCTAAGGCCCTTCATGGCTGCAGGCAGCATGCTCCAGACGGGCCCGGGGAAGACGCAGGGGCTGCGGGCGGGGGTCCTCTGGGGCGCAGGCCTGGCGAGGAGAAGCCTCGGTCAGCAGACACGGCCCCCGGCCGCGCCCGAAGAACCCTCTCCTTTTCCAGCCTCCAGATGCAACCTCCTCCCGGGAACCCACGGCGGGGTCGTCTGGGAGATCGCAAAGCCCCACCCCCAGCCCATCCCCCAGAGTGTCCATCATCGCAGCACCCCCTCCAGCAAGAAGAGGTACGACGGCCTGAGATGCGCCCACCCCGCGCCCAGCACCTGTGGGCTGGGGGTGGGGGGGCAGGCGGGGGTGCGTCTTCTCTTTCCTGGGGAGCTGGAGGTGCATCCGGAGAGAAAAGGGCAGGGCAAGGTGCGAGCTAACGGTACCTGCCGGTGGGGGGAGGGGACAGCGCCACGTCCCCACCCCCACCCCTGGGCTGGGGGTTTGGGGGGCCGGGAACCCCGCGCGGAGCTCCTCCGCCTCCCCCGCGCGCGCCTAGGCGCTCACCGCTGATCGGAGCGTGGAGCGCAGGTCACGAGTCGGGGGCACACTCACATCCCTGGGGTGTCGGCGCTCCGAGGCTCCGGGAGGCGCGAGGATCGGTGCCCTTCGGTCTCCCTGCGGACTGGAACCCGGGCGCAGCCTCGTCTTTCGGGGAACGCAGCCGCAGACGCGGACCCCGCGCGAGGGGCGGGGCGGAGCTGGGGCGGGGGTTCGCGGAGGCGGCGGGAGGCGTGCGGGGAGCACCCGGGCCCCCGAGGTCCGCGCCAGGTCGGTGTCCCGGGCTGTCCCGTGCCCCTCGCCAGTCGGCGCCCGCTTGACCGCTCGCGACCGCCCTCTCGGGTTCCCACTCGCTCCACCGCCCCTCAAGCGCCCCTCCAGCGCCTCCACCTCCCCCTACCCAGGCGTGGGCAGGATCCCTTCCCCCTGTGCTTGGCTGAGGTCCCCTTGGTATTTCTATGAAGAACGTTTACTGCGAAAAGAAGCAAAACGCACAAAGACGCAGAGAGGAAGAGGGGGGGAGTTAACGAGCGGAGGTGCTCGCGCCTGTTCACAGACTCGCTGCTCTGGGGCTCCTCCCCTCCTCAGCCCCTTCCTGGATTCCGATTGTGATTGTTGGAGGCTGCTGTCCCTTGAACGTCCATGAAGACCCCCACCAGCAGTCGCAGCCCCGGGGACTGCCGTCTCCAACAACACCCACACCTGGAGGGCAAACCCCAAAGCCTGGGCTGGGCATCAAGGCTCTCTGCCGCCCGCTCCGGCTGGTTTCTCAGCTTTGTCTCTCGCCTTCCCTCCCCACAAAGCTGTGGCGTGCTCCGCCTTTGCACCTGCGTCCCCTGTGCCTGGAACCCGTCTCTGCTGCAAGTGCGGGGGTCCTTCCTTTCGTCCTGTCCTCATTTGTCCAGCAAATATTTATGTGCTCACTGTTGGTCTAGCGCAGCTCTGGGCCCCCCTGCAAGAAAATGAGAAGAGGATATCGGCCCCCGCCCCAATCTTACATTAGACAAATGATTACCACTTATATGTCCTTGCGATACGTGCCAATCATAGCATTCGCTGAGCACATACTGTGTGCTTGAAAACCCGTTATCTCATTACAGTCCCACAACGACCCTACTATCAGCATTGTCATTGTTCCCATTTTATAGATGAGGAAACCACAGCACCCAGAGGGTGACCTCCCTGCCATGGTCACACAGTGACACAGGTGTGTGACAGTGACCAGGAGATACAGCCAATGTTGGAACCTAAGCACTTGGCACCAAGAGCCTGTACACTTCACTGCTCTCCTCCTGCTCGGGAGGAGTGAAGGCAAAGGACGAGATGGACAAGGAACCCTGACTCGGGAACTGGGATACCCACAGATTCAACAAAACTCAAAGATGAGCTCGCAGTTAAAAATCAGCAAACATCCGAGGCCCGCCGAGTGGCTCAGTTAGTTAAGAGCTTGCTCAAGAGTGTGAGCTCTGAGCAACAGGGTCGCCGGTTCGATTCATGGCTGAGCTGAGCTGCCGAAGAGCTGCCAACAGGTGGCAGGATGGCTCAGCTGAAAAAAAAAATCAGCAAACATCCAAATGAAATAGCCTCCAAAGTGAGACACAGCAGAAACAGTGGTGAGTGACAGGTAAATAGCCACAAACTATCTAAATCGAAGGTATCGGATATATAATATAAAATCCAACTGTTTCATAGGTTTAAGATATATTAAAGGAAGGAACACTATTAAAACTGACCACGCTTGGCTGTAGAAAAAAAAGAACCTCTAGGAATGAAAAACCTTTCATTGAAACTAAAAGGTCAGCAGAAACCTTGAAAGAATTATGCTAAGTGAAAATAAAAGTAATAAAGAAACATATTCTGTGTGGATTCCTTTATATGAAATGTCCAAAATTAAAAAATCCAAAAGAGACAGAAAGTATATTAGTGGTTGCCTGGGGCTGGGAGAAGGAAAGAATGGATAGTTTCTGCCAGTGATCAAGGGATGTCTTTTCAGGTGATGAAAATGTTCCAAAAATAGATAGTGATGATGATTGCACATGTCTGTGAATATACTAAGAACCACTGAGTTGTATAGTTTAAAAGGGTGAATTTTCCAGCATGTGAATTATATTTCAATTAAATGGTTGAAAAAAGAAAAAACTGAGCAAATGTGTTAGGCAGCAAATTAGACACAACTGAAGAGGGAATTTGTGAATCAGAATATAAATCTAAAGACACTATCAAGAATGTAGCACAGAGGGCCAGCTGAGTGGCACATTGGTTAAGAATTGGCTTGGGACGCCAGCTCTGAGCAGCAAGGCCTCAGTTCGGATCCCATATGGGCCAGTGACACTGCGCCCTCTACAGCTAAAATGGTGAACAACAGCTCAACCTGGAGCTGGGCTGCCGTGAGTCGCTGGCGACTATGTAGGCTGCAGTGAAGCTGCAGTGGGCTGCCATTAGCTACTGTGAGTGGCCAGCAGCCAGCATGAGCTGCCAAGAGCCACTGTGAGCAGCCGTCCAGTGGCCGGCGAACAATCTGCCTCACCCGGGAAGAGTGCAATGATAATACCAACATTGGCCAGTGAAGTGACGTCCTCCACAACTAGATTGAAGAACAAAAGGACAGCAACTTGTCTGTTCCCCTTCCCCGATTCCCCAATAAAATCTTTAAAAAGAAAACAAAAAGAATGTAGCACAGGGGTAAGGAGATGGAAAATAGGAAAAAGAAGCTAAGACACACAAAAGATGGTGTGCTAAAACCTAATATAAGCCTGGATGAAGTCCCAAAACAAAAGAGAGTCAATATTTGAAGAGATTATGCCTGGGAATATTCCAGAATTAGTGAAAAATAAGCATTTACAGAGAAGCACGATATATACTAACTAAGAGAAAGAAAAAGAAAAGCCTCACCTAGGTGCAACATAGTGGAATGGCAGACCACCGAAGACAAAAGATGATCTTTAAAACAGCCTAAATAGAGGGAGATCAACTCTAAAAAAGTAGACACTGACAGCAGAATTTCAACAGCAACAATAAAGGCCAAAAGACCATGTAATAGTATCTTTAAAGTGCTGGGAGGAAAGTAACTGGGGTTAACATTTACATCAGTGGACTCTGAATGAAGCCGATTGCCCTCCATGGTGCTGGAGAGCCACATCCAATCAGCTGAAGGCCTGAATAGAACAAAAGACTGACTTTCCAGGAGCAAGAGGGAATTCTGCCAGCAGATGGCCTTTGAACTTGAACTGAAACATTGGCTTTTACTGACTCTCCTGCCTACTGGCCCACCCTACAGATTTTGAACTTGCCAGCCTTCATAATCGCATGAGCTAACTCCTTAAAATATCTCTCTCTCTCTCTCTCTCTCTCTCTCTCTCTCTCTCTCTCTCCACACACACACACACACACACACACACACACACACACACACACACAGTAAAACTTTGGATTGCAATTAATGTGATTTGCAAGTGTTCCACAAGATGAGCAAACATTTCTAATACATTTTAACGTGGTAAATGAGTGGTGCCTTGCAATATGAGTAGTTTGTTTCCAGAACGAATTATGCTCACAAACCAAGGTATTAATATATATATATATGCCACAGAAAGCTTCTGAAATGTCAGTGAATGATGTCCCTCCCTTGCCTCAACCCTTTCCGTCCCCATTTCTGCAGACATTGCTGACCGCTAATCTTGAAGCCATTCCTAAGCTCCCTTTCCTGTGGCCAAGATGCTGTGAGGCCATAAATGGTGTTGTTTCAAGCCCCTAAGTTCTGGGGTAATTCGTTATGCAGCAAAAGATAAGACAGGTTGGTGTGGCCTGGTTTGGGTATGATGGGGCAGGGGGCAGATGCCCGAGGTCCAAAGAGTAATGTCCAAGGAGCTGGGGCCAGTCCCTGGGGAATGGGCTCTGGGCCTGCTCCCCAGAGAGCAGAGACCCACACAATCCCGCGCTGGGCTTGGTTGCCAGGGAAACGGAGATTCCTATCCTGGTTTCCAAGCTACTCTGCCTTCCTCCCCATGCACGTGGGACAGTTTCACCCTATCAGAATTTTTGCAAACAAGAATACCGGTCCATCCTGGTTAGCAAAAGAAAGGGCTTTCTTGAACGGAAAGAGAGCAGAACATGTCATTGTGTGGCCCTGCCCCTTCTGTTTGGACAGCCTCCTCAGGGAGCTGGTGACAGCTGGCCTTGACCTCCCTCCTCCCAGCTTGACCTGCCCAGATGCCCAGATCCTGGGAAGGGGGCACCAGGATCCCACCCTACTCTGTGACACTGACTGATGCCCGCAGCCTGGGGCGACTGATGCCCACAGCCTGGGGCGACTATATGGCCACAGCCCAAGCCTCATGTTGTGCTCCGGGTCCAGGACCATCGGTGAGCCTGACCCACAGCAAAGCCACCTCCCGGGTGGTCAGAACCAAGGACAGTGTCAGAGGCTGCTGCTCTCCAGCCATTGGCTGCTGAGCTTCTGGTGCTCAGGGGCAGAGGGGACAGGCCTCTGGGTCAAGCCCTGGCAGGGAGAGGGGTGAGGTTGGGGTCACGCAGAGATGTGTAGCACAGCTTTCTACCCGTATTTTTGGCTGTCCTGGAGGGTGTGGATGTGGCTGCAGGCCGTGTTACATAGAAGGGCCATTTCTCAAAAGACCGCCTGGCCTTACTGAGAGGGCCACAAAGGGTCAACAAGAACACTCTGTGTCATCCACAGGACAATTGTTTCCTGAAAGGCTGTCAAACTCTGAGACTGAGAACATCCCTGACCCCCAGAACAGTGGGGGGATAGGATGTGTGCTGGGCTGAATGGTGCCCCCCCAAAAGATGTCCAAATCCTAACCCCCAAAACTTGTGAATGTGAGCTTATTTGGAAAAAAGGTCTTTGTGGGTCTTTAAGGACCTGGAGATGAGGTCATCCTGGTTTTAGGGTGGTTCCTAGAGCCAATGCCTGGTGTCCTAAAAGAAAGGACAGGAAGTCCTGTGGCAGACACACACAGGGAGTGGCCAAGTGAGGACAGAGGCCAAGACGGGAGTTTGCAGTCAGATCGGCTTCATCCCAAGCCTAGCTCCTTAGGGGGCTGCCGCCTGGCTCCTGGCAGCCAAGAACTCAGGGTGGGAAATCTGCCTCCCTGTCCACAGTGTGTGTGGGGGGGCACTTCTCTAAGATCTTGGAAGCCCCCACTAGAGGGCATCACATTCCACTAGGTCAGGTGTCAGGAGCCCATTAAATCTGTACCGGGAAGGGGACGTGCCAGCAATGATCTCAGGCTTGAGCCCCCCTCCCCCACTCAGAGCTGATGCCCCCTGGGGTGATGGGTCACCAAGAGGAGGGGATGGATGTTTGGGGGACAACCTCAGTGTTAATATTTACCCAAAGGCTCTGAAAACATGTCCACACAAAACCCTGCCCATGAACGTTTAAGCAGCTTTGCTCGTAACTGACAAAACTTGAAGCCACCAAGATGTCCCTCAGGAGGTGAACGGATAAACTGTGGTCCATCCATCCACACACTGGACTATCATTCAGCATTGAAAAGAAATACGCTGCCAGGCCATGAAACAGCAGATGTGGAGGAACCTGCAATGCACGTGACTGAGCGCAGGAAGCCCACCTGGGAAGGCTACACAGCATACGATTCCAGCTGTTCCCCGTTCGGAAGAGGCAGCACTACAGACACAGCAACGAGATCAGTCATTGCCAGGAGCGTCTGCGGGGAGAGAGACGAACAGGTGGAGCAGAGGAGTTCCAGGGCAGTGAAAATACTCTGGCATGAAATATAATGGTGGGTACACGTCATCATACGTGTGTCCAAACCCACAGAGAGTCCAACACCAAGAGTGAAGCCTAATGTAGACCACGGACTTGGGGTGGTTACGACGTGTCGGTGTCGCTCATCGATTGTAACTAAAGTATCACCTGGTGGGGCGTGTTGATAATGGGGAGGATTTGTGTTTTGGGGGGATATATATGGGAAATGTCTGTATCTTCCTATCAATTTTGCTGGGAACTTAAAATTGCTCTAAAAAACAATGTCTGATTTAAAAAAAAAAAGTTTAAGAACTGAAAAAATCATCAGTGCTGGCCTGGGCATCTGGGGCTGGGTGGAGGGCAGCTCTGAGCCAGGCACTCCTCTCCCAGGCACCAAACCTCCCTCCATAAAAGGAGGGGCCAGGACTAGCGCACACTCGAGGTCCAACAGCTCTAACATTCTAGAACTTCGGACACGCTCCCACCATCGCATGGCCTTCCTCCATCCTTCTGTGCACCCCCTGTGCTGCCCTCCTAGCACTGCTATGACTGCGTTTTCACCCTCGCTCACCTGCTGGCCTGGGTGTGGCTACCCCCAGGCACTTCCAAATTCCACTGGGGCCAGACCCAGCGGCCAGTGGGGACACAGACACAACAAGGTCAGGCTGCCTTCAGGGAGCTCCAGCCTCTTGGAGAGACGGCGCCAGCAGTCCTCCCCAGCTCGATGTGGGGGTCAGCAAGTGTAGGGACACATTAGGGACCCCCACACTTAGGCCCCTAGAACCAGGATTGTAAAGTTGCTGCCTGAGCAAAAGCTTAGCAGTCAACTAAGTGTGACTGGATGCTTGCCACACTGAAAACTGTGTGCAAAACCAAGGCCTTGAAGCTGTTTCATTCCTCTCGAGCTAAGAGACAACTCCCAGACTACGAGTTTTCTCCCTTAGCCCTAGGGGTGTGCCTGTTATTTTCTGTTCCTCTGTTATCACTAATAAGAGACTCTGTGGTCTGTCCTCCTCTCTGCTCTCTGCATTGCCTGTCTCCATTCTTGGCGTCTCCGGTCAGAAACACCACAAGCGAGCCGAGACTCAGGGCTCGAGGCGTGGAAGGATCAGGCACCTGGGCTGAGCTGGAGAATGGGGAGAACGAAGCCCAGGGTGTCAGCAGAAGGTTCTGTCCAGCTCAGAGGACTTGTGGGGGCCAAAGGGGGGGTCTGGTCCTGAGCCTCACCAGCCCCAGGGCACTGGGGCCAGCAAACCAGGGCAGGGCAGGGCAGCACAGATGGACAGGACGCCCCAAGGCTGACCACACTGACTTCTCTTCCTCTGTGTCCCTGAAGTCCCGGCGGGAAACTGTCCTATTGTTTGAGGCTGAAACTGGAGGGGGGCAGGCAGGGGCCTCCAGGAAACCCCCAGCAGTGCTCTTTGTTCCACTTCCCACAGATCCAGCGCCCCAGCAGGACCGAGTGAGCAGACCCAAAACCCCCGGCAGGATGAAGGTGCTCCCAGCTGTCCTTCTCACCTTGCTGTTGTGCAGGCAACCAGGTACTCGGGGCAAGGGGCCGACCCTACAGTGACAGGGGACCTCATAGTCTGGGCTCCCAGGGACTCCCACCCTGGGGACAAGACACAGCTTGGGAGAAAAAGGGGGTGAGGCTGGAGCCCGAGGCCAGAGGGAGGTGAATGAGGGCTGTCCTGGACTCGCGTAGGTCCCCAAACCTCCACAGTCCCAGCCCCAGCCAGCTCCTGGGGGGACACAGGCTCCTGCCTCCACAAGCCCCAGACTCGGCCTCTCCGAAATGCAGGCTTTGGGGTTCCCTCTCTCCTCCCAGCCTCAGTTTCCTTTTCTGTAGAATGGGCAGGCCACCCTGAGGGTTCGGGAGGGGCAGGGGGGAGGCAGCTGCTGTAAAGGGCTGGTCACAGCGTACGACCATTTACTGTCGTCGGCAAAGACAGTGCCTGGTGTCACACTAGCATACTGAGCCAGGGCACATGGAGACCCAGACAGCGCCTCACCTGAGTGGGAGGCTGCGGGCAGGGAAGCACAGGGTGGGGGCTCGGCACTAGGCCACGAGCGTGTGTCCTCTGTACCTGGATAGCGGGGGTTTACAGGCATCCCTACACGGTCAGGGAGAGGGCAGGCACAGGACGAGGACAATGACGAGGACAATGACGAGGACAATGACTACAGCGACGGCGACGAGGAGGACAAGGAGGGCGAGAAGGACGAGGCAGGCGGCGGGGCCAGAGGTACCCATCCACCCCGACCCCCCCACCATGGCATCCATGCCTCTCTTTCAGCACTTCTTGTAGGTGCCACCGAGTGCCAGGCTGGGTGTGGGGCTGGAGTAATGTGGACGCACAGGGGAGGAGAAGGGGGTGAGGAGGGGACCCTGACACTCAGCACACCCCTCACTCACCTTCTGTGCCCTTCAACTGCCACCCAGGGCAGGGAGCCTAGAGAAGCAGCTCCTGCTGGGAGGGGCAATGGTGCCTGGGCAGAGCGGTTGAATAGGAGTTCACCAAGCAGAGGGGCTCAGTGGATTCCCGGGATGGAGAGAACAGTAGATACAAGTGGCCCTGGATGTTGAGTCAGATCAGAAAGACATGAGCAGAATGGCCAGGTGGGGCAGCGGAGGGAGGGGCCGGTGGGCCGGCCCTGGGTCAAGGGCTTGGATAGGCTCCTGAATGTGACAGGGAGCAGGGACAAGGGCTTAGAACAGAGCAGAGTGAGAGATGAGACCTACCCCTACCCCTCACCCTGACACGCTCCCCTAGATGGCTTCCTCTCCCCCATCCCCAAGGATAAAACCAAGGGTGTTCCCAGCATGCAACCTGCATGGCCTGCCCCTATGCCCTCACCTGGGGCTGCCAGCCCAGCCCTGCCCCCTCCTCCCCCAGCATGCTCCCCGCCCCCACCCATACCCCATGGGCTCTCTCACCCCAGGCCTTGGCCAGTGTGGGTCCGCTGGCCAGTCCTGAGGAGGGGTACAGGGAGGCTCTGGCAGAGCTGGCTTTGTGGGGATCAGCTGAGAACAACAAGGGGGACAGGAAATGGGAGGAAGCCTCGGAGGAGCAGAGGCTGGACCCGTGGGTGAGCTGGGGGGCTCTGAGGACTACGGCCCTTGGCCTGAGCCCACCTTGCCACGCAGGGCAGCTGCAGTGCTACTCCTGCGACCTCTTGCACTGGGAAGAAGGCTGTAACCAGACGCAGCGCTGCCTTCTCGGCGAGACCTTCTGCAAAACATTCATCTCCCAGGGGAATACTGGTGAGTGGCCACCCTGGCTCCCGGAAGGCACACAGCCCTCGAGGGGCCTCGTCCCTGCCTCGACTGTACCAGTGTGACACGCCCCTTCTCCACCGTCCCCCACCAGGGTCCGGTCCTTTGACCACCTACTCCTTGTGGTGCGCAGACATGTGTAAATCCTTTACCAGAAAGGTAGACGACACCCTGATGACCATGAACTGCTGCCAGACCTCCCTGTGCAACATCCCACCTTGGCAGGGCTCTCAGGGCAACGGGGCAGGAGACCACCAGGGCGGCCCTAAGACTGTGGCCGCCGCCCTCCTGCTCAGCCTCCTCACTGGCCTTCAGGCAATGGGGTCCTGAATGGGGTGACACCGTGTCCACCCTGCCTGTCTCGTACCCTGGTGGGCCAGCACCCTGTCCAATGCCATCCCCTCCTGCCCCTCTCACCACCACCAGCTTTGGAGAATAAACGTGGAGTACCTTTAAGGACTCGGCCAGCACCGGCTCCTCCCAGCCCGTCTGCATTTCCTCAGTTTTCCCATCGGGCATCCTCTCCCACTGCCTGGGTGGCAGGACGGCTAGCACACGGGCCTCGGCCTCTCACGGGGCAGATCCACACAGCCTCGCGCAGAGAAAACACTCGCTATACGCCTGGGAGGAGCAGGCCCCATTCTCTCCCTGGCTTCCCACCTCCATCCACTCATCTGCCTCCCAGCTCACCTGTAGGAGGTTTGGGGAGGGAGGCCGCCGAGGGTGTGGATGGGGCTGAGGCGCGGTGAACGCGGGGTGGCTGGGAGAGGAGAGACATGTGAGGCAAGGGGGTCAGTTGAGGTGGGCCTTCCCAGCCGGCCCCTCAGCCTGGTGGGTGCAGGTTGAGGGGACTGGCGAGGGCAGTGTGCTGGGGAGGGGTGGCCCAGGCCCTCTGGGTCCCCGGGATCTGCTCTGGCTGGGTTGTGCAGTTGGCGGCTGGGCACTTGGCCTTTTTGACTGCACCAGACTCTGCTTTCTCACCAGTAGCTTGTGCCAGGACAGAGCTCTGTGCCTCAGTTTCCCCACCAGAGCAGTTACAGAACAAGGCTGAGAGGACCCCTGGATCCCCACCAGCTCGACATCCCTGGGTTGGGAAGTCCAGAGCTCTATCCGGCCTGCCGTCTTCCCAGCAGGCAGTGCGGCCCTCTACCCTCCCTCCTCTCCTTCCCTTAACGGAAGGTCAAGGTCAAGCTGGTGGGGCTGGCAGGCTCCTTCCCCTTCCTCTTTCCTGCCAGCTGCAATGATGGCTGGAGCTCAGCATCCACATTGTGTCATGAGGCAGCGCACTGAGAATGGCAGGCCCACACTGAAGAAGGGGCCTGGGTCGCTGATGACCTGAAGCCATTATACCAGCCCTGCACTGCCTGACCCAGAACCCCATTACCTGGGAGGGAAATAAACTTCTGCTGTGTTGGAGCTAATTATTGTAGGGTTCTCTGTCACATGCATGTTCACATACCCTCACACACACACTCATGGACACCCACTCACAGACAGCTCCTGTTAAGGCACAGCAGATAAGAGCACAGGGGTCATGCTGCTGGGTTCAGATGTTCTGCCCATGCCCTCCAGCTCACGTCCCAAGCGAACCCCATATCCTCCAGCTCAATCTCTGTGTGAGCCCCCTCACCTCCCCAGTTGGTTTCCTTGTCTGCTAAGTGGGAGGGTAGGTGAACCCCCCAGTGGGGCTGCAGGGAGAATAATGAAGTGCTACGTTTAAGGGGCTGGGAGCCCACGCCGGGCAGAGTACACTTAGCAAACATGGGCTATTGCTGTCAATACGACTACGATGGCCCCGGGTGCCGCCTGTGTGCATGTTGATGGGAACCCCCACCGGACTCCCTTATGATCAAAAGAAACCTCATTAGCCTCACCTGCCTGCTTTAGAAGCACTGGGTGCTGTCACCTGTATGCGCAGAATTCTTCCTTCACCCCCCCGCCTTAGAACCCTGCAGAGGTCTGAGTGCACAGACCCCACCCGCCGCACTCCCAAGAGATGACCCTCCTTCAAGGCCCTTGCACCAGCTGGGAAAGGGGCTGCAGGCTCGGACTGAAGCCACAGGGTCCTGGGGCCAGGCCCCCCAGTCCTGCTCCTGGGGAAGCAGAAAGCACCCCCCCACACGGGGCTCTAACAGGGGCCCGAGGGCACAGAGGAGGCTCAGGCGCTGGGCATCTTCCAGAGCACACCCCTCACCCCGAGCACATGCATGCAGGTGCTTGCCCCTAAAGAGCCTGATGCTGGAAACGTCCAGAGCCTGGTGGCCTTGGGGAAGGGCTCTGTCCTGCAGCTCAGATGTTATCAAGGCCTCCTGCCCTTTCTCAGTGGGCCCAAGACAAGACAATAAAGGGGCCCAGAAGTCCTCAGGGCTGAGACGCCTGCCAGGCCTCCAGTCTGAACCAGCCACTTCCTGGCTGTGTGACCTCGACAAGCCGTTTAGTCTGTCTGTGCTCAGGTCTCTGCTCTGACCCCTGGAGCTGGCCCTAGATGGGGGCTCGGCTCCTGTGGAGGTGTCCTTTCTGTTCCTCATCCTGGTGCTGGGTCTGCTCTCTGGCCCTGCTCCCTTCAGTCACCCCCAATTCTCACCCACTCACTCCTATTGGGGAGGAAACAAATGAGCCCATTGGGCTGAGGAACCCCTTTCCAAGCTGCCTAACCACCTCCATGCTGGAACCAGCTCCTGGGGGCGCTGCCCTGTGTCCCCCACCCAGCCCTGGCACTGGAAGCTAGCTCAGGGAGGACACTGTCGTCCCTTCTTTTGTGGGCCCACACAACCTGACAGCTGGAGTCAGCAGCCTTGGGGGTCCTGTCCCAGCACAGACCCTTCCTGGGCACCCCTCCCCTGCAGCTTCCACCCTCCCCCCAGACCCTGGGTCTCCTCCCCTCCTTCCACCCACCAGACCCATTTTGTCCTGTGTGCCCACGTCCCCGCTCCCCTCCTCGGATCATTTGCTATTCACCACTTACTCCACCCCACCCAGGCTTGGCTCCTGGGGACTTCCTTCTGCCAGCACAGGAAGCAGGTGGCCACGGTCGCATTCCAGTCCTTGTTCTCCACCATGAGAACGGGGTGAGGATGAGGCAATGGCCCCAAAGCAGGACATTCCTGAGGACGCAGATTCCAAGAAGAGCCCTCCTCCCCCGTGACCGCTGGGGTCTGCAGGGGCCCTTGGGCCAGGGGCAGGTCAGCGCGCTCAGGTCCTACCGGGAACTTGCCGGAACAGAGGGGAGACCTCGGCTTGTGTGTATATCACAGGGCTCCTGACTGCACAGAGGGCCACACCTGGTCCAGCCCGCACTTGAGGCCTTGTCCAGCACGCGGGCTTTCAGCGTCAGAAAAGGCACCCCAGGGAGAAGCGTCTCCCCTCGAGCTCCCCTGGGGAGCTCGGGGATCGTGTCCAGGGGCACTGAGCGGGCGCCGCCCGCGGAACCAGGGCTGGCGTCTACCGACCTCGGAGACTGGAGCCGGGGGCGGGGGTGGGGGAAGCTATGAATGAAGTAACGTGGGAAAGGTCTCCGCCCGCGGTTCCCCCTTATTCACTGTCATCATTCTTCCCAGAGAGAAACCCAAGATTAGGGGGGCGCTGGTGCAGAAGGGCGTGAGGGGGCGTACGAGTGCACGAGGGGGTGCAGACGAGCGCGAGGAGCCCGTGGGACCGGGGCGGGGTGGGAGGAGCTTGCTCGGGGGCGGAGCCATCGCGGCGGACCACCGAGAGGGGCGGGGACCTCGCTTCCTAGAGCGGCGCCGGAAGGGGGCGGGCCCGGCAGCGGGACCTTCCGGCGGGAGCCGAGGCCCGGCTCTCGGCTGGGCAGCCCCCCAGGGCCGGCCCGGGAGGCCCGGGGTGTGGCGGGGCCCGGCAAGGGGGGGCGCCCCCTCCCCGCCCAGGGCCCCCGCGAGGGGCGCGCCCGCCTCCAGCCAGGGACAACCCGAGTCCCCCCGGCGCGGCGTCGGAGGCGTCCGCAGGCATCAGCCTCCCCCTCTAGAGGCCGGGCGAGGATCAGTCCCGCGCCACGAGGTGAAGGCGTCGCCCCGGGCCCTGCACGCGCAGCTGGCGAGGCTCTGTCGTCGGCGGGGCGCGTCGCGCGCCGCCCTGCTCGGGGGCCCCTGTCCCCGGCCTCGGCACAGCTGCTGGCCGCTGCAGGCCGGGGCCCAACAGACTGTTTGGGTGCATGTTGGCCCCTGGATCTCAAACCCACTGGTAATCCGGTCTCTCCTTGAGACCCGTGCTCCTGGAGGCAGCGAGGGTGGGAGCTTGGGTGAGTGAGTTTTCCGGAAGCCCGGCTGCTCGTGGATACCCAAAGCTGCGTGTTCCGAGAGGTCTGGTCAGAGCGCAGAGGAGCGACCCTGAAGCTGCGCAGCAGGTACCAGCACCCAGCCTGGGGCCAGGGCGCTCTGCTCCCGCGTGTGGACTGAGTTGTGTGTGTGGCCGTAGCAATCACCGGTGTCTGCAGTCCTGTGAAATGAGGGGACCAAGACGATGACCTCTAGTCTACTCCGTTTGAACGACCTTTTTATTGGTGTGCATGGCACGCAGAGACTTGAGTAAATCCTGTCTCAGCCATTAAGCACCTGCCGCCATGAGTTGGGCAGACAAAACAATTGTTTGGAAGGTTTACTGAGCACCGGTAAGTACAGACTCTAGACAAGTAACTGGGGACCCAGGGACAAAAAAAGACATGCTCCTTGCTCTCAAGAACTCGTGCCTCACAGGAAGACTGCCGCATCAGTGACAAGCCACACGTGGAGTGACAAAATTCCTGGTAGGGGGTGCAGTGCTTGGAGCACAGGGGACCCCACGCAGGCCTCAGATTGCAGGTTCAGGGGCTGAGTGGGGTGCACTTAGGGCCCAGGTGAGTTTGCACCTACCCCGGAGAGAGCCGACCACCAGGGCACCAGGGTTGATTGCACTTATGTATTGGTTTCTGGTTTTCACCTCGTTTTCCTCCTAAAGCTAGACCCCCAACTCAAACTCCAGCCTGGCTGACCGGCGCTGTGCGTCTCTGCCCTCGTTCCACCCACCCTCCCCCGTAGACAGGTCCCCTCCTTTCTGCATGCTCCTCTCAGCCCAGACGACCTTCCTTCATCTTCAGTTCTGGCTCCCACCTGATGCTGAGAACGGCCTCCTCCCCGAAGCCACCTCCAGTAGCACCCTCAGAGGGACACTGGCCTGAATCCACGTCAGGTATATCTAAACATTTCGTTTAGAAGAAACTAGACCCTCCAACTCCTTGGTGGGAGATCTGTGCAGCCATTTTATGTGTAGTTTCTATGTGTGGGAGTGAAGGGAGAAGCCCCTTGACCTAGCAGAGAGAATTCAAAGTGTTCACTAGGGATTATTATCACCTGGAGCACCACACTTTAGGTAAGACAGGCTGCCCGGATTATGGACGCCTCGTACGTTGGGTAACCAGCACAGCTCTGAGATGCCTCTGCTGGAATGTGCCTGTGGGAGGGCTCGAGGATCAGAAGATGCTGTGCTTTCTGGGGAGCACAGAGGAAAGGGCTATCTCTTGACCTCGTGTATATTTCTTTCACCAGCAGCTACAGAGCCTGAAGTTTGTTCAGGCTGAATGCTGGAATTCCATTAGCTGGCCCCGAACAAAGATGCAGATCAGAAAAGAGATAGATGACGGCTCTTAAACATGAGCCACACATTCATGCTTACATGCACCTTGGGGCCGCCTGATGCCTGTTTGAATTTGCGGGGAAATTGGGATGCTTTTAGATGGAATCAGGGAGAGTGAATGTCAGGTTTTTGAGACGATGCAAGCATGATCCTCGTTGACGGTTACCTGTGGCTCTGGCCCTCAGTAGGTGAGATAGCTCAGGTACAGTGCTACAAGGAAAGCTTGTAAGGGAGCAGGGAGTGGGGGCTGTGTTTGGGTGGGGTCAGGGAGGTGTCTCTGAGAAGGGCCCTCAGAGCAGAGTGAGGGGGCAGCCCCGCAAACGCCTGCTCTCGGGGACTGTTTCCGGAAGCAGCCAGGCGCAGAGACCAGAAGGCTTGGGTGTGTTTGCAGGACCTGAAGAAGGCTGGGTGGCTGGAGGGGAGTGAGGGGTTGCCCATGCAGTGGGCCAGGAGTATAGAGGCCTGTGAGGGAAGCCACGAGGGACTTGAGCAGGGATGTGACGGGTTTCGCAGGCTGCTGTGTGAAGACGGCGTCATGAGGGGAGGCTGGGGCACCCACCAGGGAGCCAGCCCCAAGTTTCACCCAGCTCAGAACCCAGGCTGTATGTGACGGGAGGTCCCTTCCACGAGGGACAGCTGTGGCTCAGGCAGCCTAGCTCCAAGGGCATGTTGTCTGGTCCCAAATACAGGAGGTAGAGAAGAAGCGAGAAAAAGGCAGGAAAAACTCCAGTTTGGGACCATACGGTCCATGGTACATGTCAAATCCCACTGGACACAGGTGTGGAGCCCCGGTCCCCTGGCAGAGGAGGAAGAATTCCTTGGTTAGCAACTGAGTAAGCGATGCCATTTATGGAGATGAGGAACCTGGCAAGAGTGTTGGGGCGGGGTCCTGGAAAATCAAGTACAGTGAAACCTTGGATTGTGAGTAACTTGGTTTGCGAGTGTTCCGCAAGATGAGCAAACATTTCTAATACATTTTTTTTTAAAAGATTTTTATTGGGGAATTGAGGGGATGGGAACAGTGCTGGGGAATTGGGGGAAGGGGAACAGACAAGTTGCTGTCGTTTTTGTTCTTCAGTCTAGTTGTGGAGGACGTTGCTTCACTGGCCCAAGTTGGCACCATCATTGCGCTCTTCCCAGGCGAGGCAGATCAGTCACCGGCTTCTGGACGGTCGCTCACTGCGGCTGCTGGCCGCTCACGCTGGCTGCTGGCTACATACGGTAGCCCATGGCAACCCACTGCCACAGGGACTGCAGCCTATGCCGTCGCCGGCGACTCATGGCAGCCCAGCTCCAGGTTGAGCTGTCGTTCAGCATCTTAGCTGTGGAGGGCAGTGTCACTGGCCCTCATATGTGGGATCCGAACCGGGGCCCTCTGGCATCCCAAGCGAGTTCTTAACCATCGCGCCACTCGGCCGGCCCCATTTCTAATACATTTTAACTAGGTAAACGAGCGATATCTTGCAACGTGAGTAGTTTCCGGAATGAATTATGCTCGCAAACGAAGGTATGACTGTATTCTGTTTGGTCAGGTCCCGTCTGAGATGCTCATTAGATGTCCAAGTGGAAGTACAGGAGGAGGAGAGGGAAAGGGGCCATGGCCCCTGGGGCCCGTCCCCCCTCGGTGCACCCCCCCTCCATCCTTCGGTCCCTGAGCGTGGAAAGAGTGCACTGTCATTTGCAGACACTTGCCTAGTGCACAATGGTTTTGCTTCAGCAGCTAGAGGACTGGTGGCATTCTTTCTGTTGCAGGTTTCCTGTCCCAGAGCTTTCATTACAGGCTCAGAAAAGTAATGAGTGGTGTGCAAAGCAAGACATTTCTGAAGAAGTGGAGTTACAAAGAAAGGACGTCGTAGTCTGGGGACGTGTGCCCCGGTCTTTCTCCTCAGTTAGCTCTTACTGGCTTCCCAACGTCCCTCCTCTCCTGGGAACAGAGAAAGATGGAAAAGCCCATGGGCCAAAGAAAGAAGACACAGAGCCCAGAGGAAGACGTAGGTGTGCAGAAGGACACTGCTAAGGAAGAAAAGGTGTGCGGGGCAAAACGGCCCAGCAAGAGAGGCACTTTGGCTAAAAAGCACAGTAAGGCACCCAGCCTGAGTCCTGAAGATGAGGAACACATCTTTGATGCTTTCGATGCTTCCTTTAAAGATGACTTTGAGGGAGTTCCCGTATTCATTCCTTTTCAGAGAAAGAAACCCTACGAGTGCAGCGAGTGTGGCCGCATCTTTAAGCACAAGACAGACCACATTCGCCATCAGCGAGTTCACACCGGAGAGAAGCCCTTCCAGTGCACTCAGTGTGGAAAGACATTTCGGCACAGCTCCGATGTCACGAAGCACCAAAGAATTCACACGGGAGAAAAGCCCTTTAAATGCAGCGACTGCGGGAAAGCCTTTAACTGTGGCTCGAATCTCCTGAAACATCAGAAGACACACACTGGAGAGAAACCGTATGAATGTAAGGAATGCGGGAAGACCTTTGCCTACAGCTCGTGTCTTATCCGCCATCGGAAGCAGCACCCATGGAAGAAGCACTGAGCACAGGGAACCGGTCTGCTTGGCCTCTTGCTGCCGCCTCTGCCTGCGGCGTCCACTGGGCTTTGGCCTTCTCACCTGCTCCTTGAAGACGCTGGTCTGCAGACTCGTGGCCCACTGGGTCCCAAGCCCATACCCATGCAGCCTGGCCTGTGACCCCAAGCTACATGGCAGTGCTCCTGCGGTGAGCACTAGGGACCTGGGTGCCCACTAGACTGGGCCAGACTTCCACTGTCCCTGCTTGGCTGGCTGCGGTGACAGTCCTTGTCAGGCTGGAGCACCAGTCCTTGAACTCAGCCCCTGTCCCCAGGAGCTGGGATCCCCTGTGTGTCCTCCCGGCCCAGCCGTCACCTCAGATAAATGGCCTCACATACCCATATGGACCACTTGGGACCCAGCTCCTCAGGGCCTGAATGCTGCCACCATGGGAGCTTTGTGCCCTGGCCACATGATGGGGGCTCTGGGATGCTGACAGCAGCTTCGATCCAGCCCGCATCTGCCACACAGGAGACCTTCAGACACGAGGTGGTGTGCCCTGCCCCCCAGGGGCCAGCTCTCCATTCAGGTTAGTTCCACTTCTCTGTGCCTGGCCCCCTCATTCCATCCTCCCCCCGGTCAGGTCCACATGCTTACCTGCCCTTGGTTTCCCTCTAGGAGTGGTCTGCATGGGGCTCTGTGCTCTCTAGGGCAGTGCGGTTTGTCCCCGAATTTAGACAGTTCAAGCGGGTTCCTCTTGCCTGTTCCTTGAAGTCACTGGTCTGCAGACTCTTGGCCTAGTGAGTCCTGAGCCCATCACCATGCAGCCTGGCAGGTGACTCTCAACCAGGAGGTAACATGGCTTTTTATTAGGAAAATATGGATACCTACGTTTTCACTGTTCGGAACCAAAAACCTAATAATAGCCTTAGTCTCTGGGGATTCCGCCTGCAAGAAAGCCTGAGTTAGGGTGCAGATGGGCTTCTCTGTCAGGCAGCCATGGATGACGGAGGAAGCCCCGGGTGGAACTGTAACAGAGTCCTCTTGTCCTTTCTAAAAGCTATGACAGTACACCTCCATCTGAGCTGGGCCCTCCTCCCACACCCGACCTGGCTGGGTGGCAGGTATGACTGGAAGTAAACTGCGGCCCAGCACGCCTTCCCTCTCCCCTCACCCCAACCTGTGACATGCCCTCACAGCCCCAGAAGTGAGCTCTGATGAGGCAAAATTGTTCAAAAGCAGGTGCCAGAAAGCTGGCTTTTGGGAGATGCACGCTGTGTGACCTTGCATTGTCACACAATTTCTGGCAAAGGTTGCCAGAAAAGACGTTACCGGGACAGGGACATTTGGGAAACCAGGGGTCTAGACTGTCCACTGGATGGCAGGGCCATGTCAACTTCGAAGTTCCCCAATTTGATCATGGCCTATGGCCAACCCAGATAAGTCCGTGTCACGAAAGATGCTCACTTAGGTTTTCAAGGACACAGGTTCATGACATCTACAGTTCACTCTCAAATGTTTAGCAAAGAAACAGTAGTAATAATACATCAAGGACACTGAGAGTGATGAAGCAAGCTGGCTAAATGCCAGTCATGCCGTAAATGGCCAGGTCATCACTGTTCTTGACTTTGTAGCCATAATGTCTCCGTCACTACTCAGCTCAGCTGTGACAGGTGACAGCGGTCACCACACACAGTTCAGAAGTGAATGTGCCCAGCTTTGTGCCAATAAAGCTTTATTTACAGAGCAGGTGGCGGGCTGCATCTGGCCTATTCTAGGTGAAGGCGTGGAGAGCTCACCCCCTATCCTGTAAACCTTGAACTAAATGTCGGCAGGGGGAAAGCTGGTGCGGGAAGTGGAAAGAAACCGTGGGGCGGGGCTGGGAGATGCTCAGAGCAGGCGTGCCCTGCCGCTTGTCTCGGTGTGCTGGGGAGGCTGGGGCGTGGAGAGCGGGTGCCAGCCACAGTCACAGTGTCCTGGGGGTGTCTGCATCCGCTTTGGTTTGCTTTGGTTTTATCTGTTACAGTGTTATAACAGACCATGAGATATAGGTTAGATACATTGTTACAGTATATGTCATTCTAAGTCAGCGACCCCTTAATACAGTTCCTCATGTTGTGGTGACCCCCAACCATAAAATTATTTTCGTTGCTACTCTATAACTGTGAGTTTGCTACTGTTATGAATCGTAATGTGAATATCTTTTTGTTTTCCGATGGTCTTAGGCAACCCCTGTGAAAGGGTCGTTCGACCCCCAAAGGGGTCGCGACCCACAGGTTGAGAACTGCTGTTCTAAGTGATGCGGCAATAAACATCTTTTCCACATTTAGGGCCGACAGGACGGGTCCCCAGAGGGGAAGGACAGGTGGAGATCATTCTGACAAACACCCTCCTCCAGGCTGTGCCCAGCAGCGCCCTGCAGCGCCCAGACCCTGGCCTCACTGGCAGCAGGCAGGTAGGTTGTGGTCCTGGCCAGTTTGTTAGAAGAAGAAAAACATGCTGATCTGATGTCTTTGATTTCTGGAGAGGAAGCGGGTGGTCAAGAGCATGGGCTACCACCCCGATCCTGAGCTTTGGAGACATGGGGCCTTGGGAGTATCACTTAATCGCCTATGCCTCAGTTTCCCCAGATGTGAAATGGGTGCTGGTGATGCTTAACCTGATCCAGGGACTTGAGACGTGAAGCCCTAAGTACAGTGCTGACTCACCCTGGTGGTCTGAGGCATGTCAGCTCTTGTCACATATGCGTGCTCTCGGGGAAGCAGACATATGCCCATGCAAGTGGACGCCTTCAGGGTCTCTGCTGGGAGGGCACAGTAGTCAACTTCAACTAAACCGACCTGGGAACGACAACAGAAAAATACTTTAAAAAAATGTACACTTGGAAATTCAAAAAAATACAGTTTACAGTAATGAGAAAAACCACACATTTCTAACTAAAACAGCAGTCGTTTTTGCCTCTTATTTTGGTGCAGACAGATGGGCTCATCGTTATTTCTTTTGAGTTCTCCATCACAACATCACACCACCACCGAGCACCGAGGCCAGATCTTTCAGATTAGTCTCTGTTTTGGTGTTTTTTGTCGATGTTCAAATGATACTCACATGCCAGAAAAAAGAAAACCTTCGGAATAACCCAAGTCAAGGAAAACAACATAATGAAAGTTATAAAATACGTAAGCCTCAATGACAGTGAGAACCTCTGAGTCAAATGGAAATTGTAGCCCTCGGTGCCTACATTACGACGAGCAGCAGAGCTGGGACTCATAAGCGGAGCATTCAACTTTAACCGTTATTAAAAGAACAATAGGGTAAACGCAGAGAAGGGAGGAGATCATGAAGAACAGAAATTAATAATGGGAATGGATACTGTTGAGGGAATTAAAAATGTACAAGTCGGTTCTTTGAAAGGACTATTAAAATTGACATTCTCTGGCAATAGGATCAAGAAAAAGAGAAGCAAATAAACCGTTAGGACTGAGGAGGGGAGGATGACGGCAGATACGTCAGAGATTAAAAGGTAAAGCACTGAGCCGGTAAACACGAGAACTCAGATGAAGTGGGGTGTTAGAAGCCAACGCAAGAAGGTGTAGCCTACAGAGCCCTGTACCCATTCAACAGACGCACTCCCGGTTTGCAGTCTTCTCACAAGAGTGCAAGTTCAGGTGGTGTATTCTGAGTTCAGGACACTAAGTCCAGTCTTACACGGACTTAGACAGAAAAGGGGACACACGTCCCACCTTATTTTCTGTGGCTAGTGTGACCATGGTATCAGATTCCAGCAGATTGTCACCGGCTCGTGGAGCAGAAGCTCCACACAGAATCCTCGTGAGCTGAACAGTGGGTTCAGTCTGACGCTGCCAGGCCAGCTTAGGTTTAGATCCGGGTGACAAGTGGGGCTCAAAACTGATGTCACTTTTCACAGTAACAGATTTAAGGGGAAGAAGGGCACCGTATTATCATCTCAGTAGCTGTAAAACTCTGTGTTAAAATTCCACATTCATGATTAGAATCTTTTCATAAGTAAGCCGTATAATAGAATTTTCTGAACCTGATACAGCATATCTTCCAAAACCTACAGCAACATTATACATGAGGGTTAAACATTAAACAGTATCCCCTTGGAAATCAAAACCAGCACGAAAACGCCTGCTGTCACTACTGGAGAGTGCAGCCAGTGCCGTAAGAAAGGGGACGAAATAATGTACATAAGATTAGAGTGGAAAATCCTAGTTGTCATGAGTAGTGGATGATACTACTGTCTACATAGAAATCCAAAAATAATCGCAGACTATTGAAACTATTAAAAGTTCGGCAAGGTTGTCACATAGAAGGTCAGTATACACTAGTCCTCGTTAACTTCACCTACGTTCTGCAACTTTAACTGAGTCGACGTGTAACGAAAACAGTGTTACCACAGGCTAATTGGTATAAACAGGAGTTAGGTTCCTACACTATCTCATCAATGTTATAAGGAAATGACGTTTTACAAGAGCTGCTGTATATCCAGAAGAATCGAGAGTAGGGACTCAAACAGGTGTCTTTACATGAAAGTTCACAGCAGCCATTGGTACAAACAGCCCACATGTCCGTCCACAGATGAAGAGAGAAGCTGTGGTCTCCCCAGACCATGAAATGCTATCCAACCATAAAAGGAGTGGGGTCCTGCCTCGTGACAGGACGTGGTCACACTTAGGAGACATGATGCTGAGTGGAGAAGCCAGACACAGAAGGACAAATACTGCACAGTTCTGTTTCTCTGAGGTCCCTACAGCAGGCAAATGCATAGAGACAGAAAGCAGAATAGGGGTTAGCGTGCCAGGGCGGGGACATGGGAGCTTCACGGGGGCCGAATTTCTGTTGGGGATCAGTTTATCATTGTGCTGCTTTATTTATTCAAAAGGTAGTTCTCATCCTCAGGTTGGGAGAGCAGATCACGCCAAAGGAAGAAGTTCCCGATGAGATATGCATAAAAAGGAACCTCAAAACAAGGAAGTTCCCACATTCCTGAGCTCAGGTGAACAGAGATCAAGACGGAGAAGAAAGGAAAGCTCGTCAGTCCGGCCTCCCGGGCCAAGGGACAGGTGGGGACACAGGCGGGAGAAAAGCCACACTTAAGGGACATGCCTGGAGACAGGGTGAGCGGAGGGCAGTGTTTCACCAGAGACCCCTGGAAACGGGGAAACCAGAAGTAGTTGCGGGGAGCCTTCACGTGGCTCTCAGACCTTTTCAAAGGCTAAGAAATGCACGTGGGCAGACCTTCATGAGTGTCCATTCTTGCCCCGTCCAGGAGGCCCCATCAGGTCTCCTTCAGCCGGTGTTCTAGGAATGGGCTCCAGGTAGAAGCACCCGCAGATTGAGAATGTACCTGGCGACAAATGCAGAAACCTCAGGGTGCCCTCCCGCTGTGGCAGGGAGACTTAGATCAGTGACCCCAGACCCATGGGGCACCTCATGCCCACACTGCAGGCCCCGCCACGTTCCAGCATGGATTGTGCAGGCATGGCTCCAGCATGACCTGACGTCAGGGCGAAGGCCACACAGGACCTTGAATGACATGGAGACACCTGCAGTGTCCTGGGGACTTGACATAGATTGTCCTTCATGCCGGCATTCTGTAAGCCGTGTCAGCGTCTGCTCCTGCAGGCCTCATCCCACCTGATCTGAGGGAAGGTGGGAGCCAGGGCTGTGGGACAATGGGCGGTGAGGGCCACAGAGCAGATGCAGCTGACCAGTAACTTTGGCCTCTGGTTGCTCTTACACCAGGGTCCAGTGCATTCCTGGGGAGGCTGTGGGCAGCAGGGTGTCACCTGGGCTCTACTTCTAGTGACCTCATCTCATCTCCGTCCCCAGTTTGGGCACAAGATCATTTGTGACCTCTGTAAGTGAGCTAGACACCAAGACATGCTGCAGAGTAAACGCGACCTGGGGAGGACCATGGTGCTGGTCTTGGACATTTGCTCTGGAGCAGGACAGCGAGGTCATGGTGAGGTCAAGGTTCTCAATGAGCTGGGGACGGAGGGGTAAATGGTGGCTCCGAGGCCCAAGGAAGCAGTGTTGGGGCCAGAGAAGGAATGGGCTGGGGGCCAGGCTAGGAGCAGCCGTGAACAGGGCTGGTGGCCTCCAGGTCCATTGCCCGAGGTCAGGGCTCTGCTCCAGGTGCCCGCTGTGCCTTTGAGAACTTCTGTGTGCCGTGCTCGGAGCTTGCTGTCTCCTGCTTTCTTCCTCACAAACTCCAGCTGCCTGTTCAGGGAACCGCCGCGTGGTCCTCTCCTTGACCAGAGTCCCACCTCTCCTTGACCAGGATGCAGGCTTGTCCACGGGGGTGGGGCTGACGCTGCTCCTGCAGTCACCTGCAGACCCCATGGACATGGGTTCCTGAGGCCTGAAGTTGCTGTCCGTGGGGCGAGCACCCAGGGGGCCTCAGCCCCAGTGCACACCTTGGTCTCAGTATGGGGGTGCCCAGTGTCAGTTGCAGCACTCCACAGGAGCTCCCCATCACACCTTGCATGCCCTGTGTCACTGCAGCCTTACCCATGTGGCATTCTGGTCTTGTTTTTAGTGTTCATGCCTCTTGGTTTTAATGTATTTCCTAGTGAGCTTAAACACTCGGTATATTGGCATTGTATTTACATCCCCCAGTAAAAAGTGCATCTGCACCCACGTACCTGGTGGCTCGAGGTGGCTGTTGGGCTGTAAACGCTGTCATACAACTGGTGGTCTTGGGCCTGTGGTTGTGCAGACACTCCCTAGTCTAGTATTTCCCACTATTTTTATCGTCCAGAAATTTTACTTTCTAACTAGTAAAATGTGTTGAACTTTTACTTTACAATCTCTTTGCTCCTTCAGTCCCTATTAAGCAAGTGTGCTCTACACCTGGGATGGATGCTCTGTTTGCTTTCTACTGGTTTCCTGTTGCTTGCTGTCCATGTGTTTCCTAGTCCAGAAGCCACACTGGTTCCCACGTTATCCCAGCCGCCTCCTGCACTCATCACAGCGCCCCTGTCCTGCTGCCTGTTGACACCTGTTTGCTCCTGTAATAAACTGTCCTGATCTGTTCACTGCTTTCTGTTGATCTCCCTGCAGCTTGGGGTACAATCGGGATTCCCCATGGAGGGAATCCTCCCAGGGAGAGAACGCTGCCTCCCAGGGAGAGAACGCTGGCGCTGTGGTCCAGCCCAGGGTCTGGCCTTGGGCCGCAGAGCCAGAGACCCAGCTGGTCACTGCCTCCAGCGCATCTCTTGGGAGCAGCATCACAGATCAGCAAAGCAGTTTGCTAACTTAGGATGGGAGTGATCCCCTGCAGTGACAAGATACTGTGACCCTCTGCAGATGACCACCTTTGTGGCCCTCCATGCCTGGGAAACTCAGGCTTGTTTGGTGCCTGCAGTCGTAACCCCTGGAGAGGTTGGGGAGGCACCAGGCCTGCTTCCTGGGACCCTGTAATTGCCCCACCCCCAGCCCTTGCTCATTCTGCCTGTCTAAGCAGCTGTTCTCCCGTGGGGCGAGTCTGCCTCCCAGAAGGACTCGTTTACAACGTCTAGGGACATTTTTGGTTGTCACAAGTGCGAGGAGGTGCTACTGGCACCTGGTGGGCAGGGGCAGAGAAGCAGCTCAGCATCCTACTGAGGGCACCCCCCCTCCCGCCCCCGCGCCCCAGCGCAGGACCCTCCAAACCTAAGCAATTGAGATGCCTGGCAGGGCCCCTGTAGAGGGGCAGAGGCGAGTGGAAAACATGGTGATTGGCTCAAAGTCTCCGCAGGAGTAACTAGTACCCTCACAGGAAACAAGAGTGTGCCCCCACGCCGCCAAAACGAATCCAGCGGGGCGTCGCTGGGTGGCCGGTCACGGAGAGGATGAGGTACCGACAGAAAAGGGGACCTCCGTCCACGCGTGGACGACACGTCCAAAGCAGAATTCGCTTGTGTGCGCTTCCACAAGCCCTGTGGCCACCGAGGTGGCGGTCCTCCGGGCGCCCAGAGCGGCCCGGAAGTGCGCGCGGCCGGGGCGGAGCGGGGCAGGGGCTCACTTCCGGCCGGCGCGGGCGCGGACGGCCACCTCCAGCTCCGAAGGTGAGTGGACGCCGGGCGGGGCGGTGACTTCAGGGGCGCGCGTGGTCTGCGCTCGCGCGTGGTCCCTGCCGGGCTGGCCCCCGCAGCTACCGCCGCGTGACCTTGATCCCGGGCCACGGGTGGTCGACTCCGCGGAGTGGCGGGCGCACTGGCCCCAGGCGATCGCAGTGACCATTTGCGGGGCGCCTCCCCACGCGCCCAGACCCCCGGGAACCGTCAAGTCCACTTTGCCGATGGGAAACGGGGGCTCAGAGAAGTCTCGAGTCCGAGGCCCCGCGGCCAGCGAGGGAGAGCGCCGGCCCTCTGCCCGGCACGCTGCTCTGCTGCCGGGCTCCCCGAGGTCGGGCCTCTCCCCACGGGCACAGGCTCCAAGCTGGGAAGAGAGGGGGCATTTGTGTCCCTTCCGCCTCCGCCGGTTGTGGCAGCGGGAGCGTGGGACGTGCGCTCAGAGTTGGCTCGCGGCCCTGTGGGCGTCCAGTGTGACGGCCGCCTCGGCTCAGACAGCCAGGGTAGGGCTGAGCGCGCCCTTTCTCAGCTAAGTCCTAGGAAGTTAACCGAGGGGGTTGAGGACCTGCACCAGCCCACTCACCGGGCTGCCTGCCCGTGACCCTTCCCATCATTAGGGGATGAGGCTTGCTGGGGCTGACCCAGAAGGCGGGGGCGCGGGTGGGAGCCCCGCTGGGGCTGCCTTGCCTCTTCCTAGAAGCAGGTGCTGTCTGCACTCGCTTGTCCCCCTTCTTTACCCCAAGGAAGGAATCCTGCTTCATCACAGAATGAAAAGAAAACCCTTCTCACATTGCGCAAGCCATTCTTGCAAACCAAATCAAAGTATCTTTGACCCCAAAGGAGGCTCAGTCCTGTGGGGGTGCCGGCAGGTTCCTGCCTGCAGCCTCTGAGGACTCTGGCGGGGTCTGAGCAAGAGGGTTTTACTTTCTGGGATGTGTCGTTGCGATTCCATCTAGAATGTTGATGCTCTAGCAGATGAGGTTCAGTTTTGCGCCCTCTCCCGGGGCCAGGGCCCCCCAGCTGTGGTGCAGGCTTTTCTGGGAGGACCACTGTGCTTTTCTCTGGGTGAGGCCGTGGGCTGGGAGGCCACTCCAGGCCATTTTTGGGACAGAGCTTTTGGATGTGGTCCCTGCAGGTGTGTTGGTGCTGTTCAAACGGATTCATGTGCCAGGGACTCGATCACCTCACACCCCAGACCCCACAAGCCACCTCTGGGTGTCCTTGTTCTCCCCACCAAGATCACCTGTGGCTGATGGGCCGCTGGCATTGCTCCCACCCACCCCACCCCCGCCCC